CTAACATTTTTATTATTAGATTCAAAGTTATTTCCAGTGTTTATGTTCTTCTTCCACAACATAATATTGATCTTCTCACTGAAAGATTTCATTTGAGATCAATATTGTGAATAATAGTGTTACTAAAGTAAATGTTTATGCATTACAAGATAAAGCTAGAATTGTTTATGAGCATAAATGCTCTTTGAACAAGCTTAATAATGTGACAAATTGTGCTATTTTAGTTATTTTTCTTGTTCCTCTCCCCTCTTCTTTGTCTTTCTCTTCCATGACCAAGAAAGGAGTCCTAAAGGGTGTAATACTCATTGATTTCTTCTTTCTTTTCTATTTTTTTAATTTATTTCTAATGTTATTTTCTAATATGATTGCTTAGAATGTTTTGGGTTTTAATAATGAGGTATGTATTCAATATTACATAAGCTTCTTTATGATTATAAGATTCATCTCATTTGTCATCTTGAAACCATGTCATCTTCTTCATCTATTCTAGATGTCATTAGACTTAATCATTTTAAGTTGTTTACTAATGAAATGTGTGCATAATTTAAATTGTGTTGACAATGGTCGTATATAGGTTAAATGAAATTTAGTCATTCTTTCTTTTCATGTCATTAACATTAAGACACAATATATTCATGGTCAGATTTCTTTTTCCTCTTTTGCTAATTTATTTGTTATTTTTATCTATGCATGTAATAATGTTTCCGTTTGAAAAGAAATTTGGAAGCATATTATTTTTATATTTGCTAATATTAATGATCCTTGGTTGGTTATGATGACTTTAATTATATTCATAAAATTGATGAAAAAATTAGAGGTGTTGCCACCTAATTCTCATGTTCTTACGCATCTAGCGCCTCTTGAACAAAAAAAATATTACATCAGTACTACGCATGTAGAGTAACGTGCGTTGCCAATAAAATCACGTCACGACACCCCACGTGACAGGAAAAAAAAAACGGTGCGGTAACACGGGGAATATTCCCCCCGTGTTATTCATGTGTTATTGTGTCATGAGAATATTTCTGGTGTTATAATAACACAATAACACATCAATAACACATAAATAACACGGGGAAATATTCCCCCGTGTTACCGTGCTGTTTTTTCTCTGTCGGGAATATTCCTCCGTGTTATTCTGGTGTTATTGTGTGTTATTCATGTGTTATTGTGTCCTGAGAATATTCTTAGTGTTATAATAACACAATAACACATCAGTAACACATGAATAACACACAATAACACATGAATAACACATGAATAACACAGGGGGAATGTTCCTTGTGTTACCGCGCCGTTTTTTTTTTTCCTTTCGTGTGGGGTGTCGTGGCGTGATTTCATTGACTACACACGTTACTCTACGTATGTAGTACTGATGTAATATTTTTTCCTCTTGAACATGCCACAGTACGCCTCTTGCAGATTTCATAGGGATCAAGAATTACACATTCTAAAAAGAAATTCAGAATAAATATGTCAAAGACCTGAAAACTACATCAAAATTTCCCTTTCTCACTATATTAATTCCCACATAGACGTTATATAAGTAAAAAACCAAGCCTTAGGTATGTTACAGATAAGCACATCAGAGTTATGTGGTATGCAAGTATAGGAAAAATTAAATGGCAAGTTGGGTGTTGGGTATGAAATGCAAAAGAATTGTGTGGCGTGCATGTAAACTTTCATTATTTCATTTCCAATATATATTTCCCTTTTCTTATTGGAGGCGGCCGAAAGTATCGCGAACGCCTAAAATTTTCAGATTTTTTATCAATAGAACACCAAAACATATAGATTTTTATAAGTCGAACATTATAAGTCAAACACCAAAGCTTGCAGATTTTTACAAATCGAACACCAGATCGCAGATTTTTATAAATCGAACACCAAAGATTTCAATAATAAGCTTGCCGCAAATCTTCTTCTAATCCAAAAGAAAAACTAATCACAATTTCCCAAATCCAAATTGTAAAAACAAAGAGAATTTGATACGACATTATTTAAAGAACAAAAAGAAATTAGTCACAGCTCTTCAAAACAGAGCAAAGAAAAGAAGAAATTGCTTGCAATTCTTTTCAACTATCCAAAAAAATATAAAACAAAAGAAATCTAGCAGCTTTTCAAAATCTGAATGAAAGGTTGCTGGTTTTTTTTTCAAAATATTTAGAATATAAAACATGAAATAGCTAATTGCAATTGTCCCAAATTTTCATGCATGTGTGAAGTAACAAATATCCCCAAATAAGTTCTAAAATATGTTGACCAAGCGGTAGACATTTTAAAGTAACCATATAGGATTACAAAACACATGAATGTATGGGTCAATAATCATTATGTGCATAAGAACAATAAGTAAAGAAAAACCTCAAAGAAGACACTTCTTACTGTATGATACACTCTATAAGTAAATCGAAGAAGAATGCAAAACAATGAGATTCTTACCTCCAAATGCTTGAAGAAAGAAGAAAGAGAGTTACCTCTTGATGCAGATCCAAAGCAAACTCAAGAACAAGCCTAAGAAAAATTTCAGTTGCACTTCACCTCTCCTTAAAATTTCGGCCGACCGAACAACTCCCCCAAGTGAGGTTTATATAGCCAAGAAGAAGGAGCTACAACTTACCTGGGGCGGTGAACCAAGAGAAAGGGGAAGAGAATGATGACAAAAGACACAGAGGTATGGTGAGCAGGTGGCACAGAGAGCAGGTGGAAGCTTTACTAGAGCACGGGGAGAGGAGGGACCTAGGCCGAAGCTTCGCGACAAAGGAGAGGAGCGCCGAGTCAGCTAGGGTTGCGAGCAGTCAAAGAGGTGGAAGAGGAGTCGGGCTCGCTCACGGGAGAGAAAAGAATCGGGCCAAATGGAGAAGGATCGGGGGAAGGATTAAGTGCATGCATGAGTTTAGGTTTAGGGATTTGAGTTTAGGTTTAGTCGATTCGAACACAATTTGATCTCGCTCGGAATCATATGAAAATTGGTGTCCTTTCCAGCTAAATTCGACATTCCGGACACGCCAACACTGTTCATTTCGCCATCCGGGATCATTCGGACAACCTCATCGACGATCGGGTAAAAAATGCGTCGAATTCGATTTTCATCGAAATTTCAGTTCCCGATCGATCGTTCCAAAAATTTATTTAATCTTTCGACAAATAACGACGCGGTCAATGCAAATTATAGTAATCAAACGTATCGACTATTTGAATCATGAAATTTGTGCTCGTGAAGGTGCAAATTGTGCAAAAGGAAATCCTAGGGCTTAAAGGTCCCATATGAACTCCTTTTGAGTTCCCTCATGTTAGTTGCAACCTTCTAAGTGCTAGAAGTCAAGAACCACATGCGTAACTTCAAAAGAGTAAAGAGGTGGTTTGGATTTCTAAAATGAAGTGGGCATCAATGCTAAGGTTCTAAGATAGTTAAAGGGAGAATCTTAAGACTAGATCCTAAATCCTAAGAGGAAAACTATACCTCATTAAAAATGAGGTCAACACATAGTAGTAGTTGGAGGAAGTTTAAGCATGGTATTCCTGATAAAATTGCTATTTTCTATAAGATTTATCTAGACTATAATTCTTCTATTATGTGAATTGGGTGATGTTACTTCTTCTTTTATAAAATTTAGCTAAACTCTAATTGTTTTTACTTCATTTTTAGCCAAATTTTCTAAGATGGTGTGCATGAGTTGAGTGATGTTTTGAGCTTTGTTGTTTCCAATATTTTGTTTTGGAGCATAACCATTTTTTTAGGGATAATATGACACGCCTTACCTTATTGAGATTTTTTCAATTTGATTTATGTTTTCATATTTCTATTGCGGTTCATCTAGCTACTGATCATGAATTCAATTATTCAGTGGTTCCTGGTATATGTTGGGGTGTTTCTATAGATATGTTCATTTATTGCATTATAAGTTATTTTGGTTTTGTGCTTAGATGTTATTCAGACGTTATAGTGAAACTCAACCTATTTATTATTTATAATTTGATAATTTCTAATTGTTTGATATAATTATATTTTATGTATAAAGCCTCAATATCTTTTCTTCCTTGGACCCAAATTTTTATTTCTAGATGGATTTATTTTTATTTTCTGCATTATATTTTTATGGGCAAATATTACACTTGGTTCTCTTTCGAGGTTTGTCTTTCGAGTTATGAGAATGTTCAACCATACATTAAGTTTGAACTGTTCATTTATATATTTTGACATTCATAATGTATACAGCATTCCTGGATGGAGGCTTAATGTTTTTTTGTGGGTTCAATTATTTAGAGTTATTTACTTCTTATTTCTCCTCCTTTAATTGATGACATTTTTTTTTTTGCTTGAATTGAAGAATGTTGTTTTTCTTTCTTTACAGATTTTTTCTTCGTGGGAATATATTTGGCTATTGTTGGAAGGATTACTATTGTTTTTGTCAGTTTTTTGGAGAAAAATTGATGCTTTATCTGATCGGATAGTTGAAAAACTTCATTTTGGCTGATATAGTTGTTTCAAATGGTTTTAGAGACTAAAGTTTGCACATTTGTTTTTCTACTTCAGTTGATTTTAGAGATTTTAGAGATTTTAGACATTCTATTTTTTTCAATTTATCTTCATTATGACCGAATTGACTGTTTTTTTTGTAGTTCGTGGTGGTTTATAAGTCCTTTGTCTGTATTAATTGGTTTTTTTGTGTTGAGCTGTAATTTTTTCGGTCTTCTTAGTGTTTTATCTTGAACATTTTTCTTTTCCTAATATAGCTGGATGTGACCCTTATTTTCCTAATAAAGTCAGCTCATATTATTAAACACAACTTTTCACTATAAATTATTCACGAAATATGAATATAAAAACACAACTTTTTGGGACTATAAATCTGAAAATTCAAAAATCCTCATTGCATTTTTGTGTATGATAAATAAGTTGATAAATCTTATTAATAATTGCTACCAAAGCCTGTCATAGGTATTAAATATATAAATACAGAATTATTGGTATTAATGTAAATGCCCCTAAATCAAATCCTACCTCCCATCTTAGGTCAGGCTCACTTTAGCATTTTGTAACAAGCGTTCCGGCTCGGGAATGGGAGGAAGCTGAGACCCGCGACCACCGCCGCCCTCCGCACTCGCTGCCCCCTCAAATGCTAGGGTTTGTCAAACCCTCTTCCAGGAATCTCCTCCGCTTTCTCTTGATACCTTCTTCCTCATCCTTCATTCACTCTGCCCCCGTGCCCGCCGTCTCGCGAGCAGGCGGTGGCTTGGTACCCCTCGGCTTCCCACCACAACCTAATTTGCCGTTTTTTCTCGATAACACCGAGTCCCACTTCATTATATCCTCCTTTTCCGATTGGTTCCGCCGCGGCTACGATCCTCTTCCTCACCTGTTGGACGAAATCTACAGTGTTTTCGCCCGATCGGACGATAGTTCAGTAATCAATGCCACCATCTCCCGTCTCCGTCTACGCCTCTCTGAAGACTTCGTCCTCCGTTTCCTTCGCCACCGTCCCCATCCTTCGGCGGTTCCTCCTTCCGCTGATGCCTCAAGCTCTCTCCTACAGCTCCGAATCCGCTTTTTCGAATGGTGCAGCCGTCAGCCTGGCTACTTCCATTCCCGCTCCGTCTACCATGCCCTCTTCCGCCTCCTCCATCGGCACCGCCACGTTTCTTTCGTCATGGAATGTCTTCGTCGCTTCTCCGACACTGGCTACATTTCACTCTCTTTTGATGCTGACGCAGCTGCTTCCAGTGGCAGCAAAGGTCATCCAAGATTCTACCAGGCTCTAGTCATCGGCTACGCTGTAACTGGATCCGCAGAACGCGCCCTTCAGCTGTTTGCCCGAATGCGATACAATGGCGCCGACCTCGACGACTTTTGCTACCATGTCCTACTTAACTCTCTTGTCGAGGAATCCCTATTTGACTTCGCCGATTCTATTTTTACCCAGATTGACTCTCGCGGTCTTGCCGGGCCCGTGACGGCTTGCATACGCGTCAAGCGGCTCTGCCGCCAGGGCCGGCTGGATGATGCCGCAGCTTATCTGCGCAAGCTATATCAATGCGACCACCGGGTGGTTGCCGACCGCACCGTCGGAACACTTGTTCAAGCTTTATGCAAGGCTGGGCGGGTTGAATGTGCCAGTCAGTTTGTTGACGAGTTCAGCAATGCAGAGGCCTATGGCGCATGGATAAGCCACCTTCTTGCAGTCGGGAAGATTGATGCAGCCATGGAGTTTTTGAGAAAGAAGAAAGATACAGATACTGATCGGCACTTACTCGAAACCTTCCAGTACAACCAGCTTATTCAGCGGTTGCTAAGGCAGAACTTGCTTGAGGAAGTTTGCGATCTCCTTGTGGAGATGATGGAGGAAGGTATTTCCCCGGATCAGCACACCATGGACGCAGCATTATGCTTTTTCTGCAAAGCGGGAATGGTTGATGTGGCAATCGAGCTTTACAATCTGAAGATGGAGATTGGAGTGGCACCAAAGAGAATTGTCTACAACCATCTGATCAAAGCCCTCTGTAAAGATGGAAATGTGGAAGAGGTTCTGAGAGTGTTAGAGGATTGCATGAACCAGGGTTACTTTCCTGGAAATCAGACCTTTACTCGCCTTGCCAATATCCTCCTCAGACAGGGCAAGCTTGAGAAGCTTCGTAGTCTACTTTCAGAAGCTCTGAAAAGGAAATTAAGGTCAACCGCCCATATCCATTCTCGCTATGTATCTGCTCTGTGCAAGATTGGTGCCGTTAAGGAAGCTTACTCCGAGCTCTTGACTACTGATGGAGTCAATGCAGGTGTTATTATGTACAAATCCACCTGTTGCAACTTGATTCGGGCTTTCATAAAGTTGAGGATGATGCAGTTTCCTCCTGGATTACTTATTCAGATGCAAGCCCTTGGTTTTATGCCAGGAAGACGCCTTTACAGGGAAGTGGTTTGTAGTTTGTGTGAGATGGAAATGTTTGATGTGGTTTTTGATTTACTGAACAAACAGTTGGAAATTAAGCAATTTGATCCTAGAACTTGCTACAATTACATCATTGATGGTGCTGCACACTCCAAGAAACCTGAGATGGCAATGGAAGTGTATAACAGGATGGTAAGTGCAGGAATAGAGCCCAATTTATGTACAGATATTCTAATTTTACGTTGCTATATGAAAAGCAGTCGTTTTGGAGATGCTTTCTCTTTCTTTCGCCTTTTAAAGAAGAAACATTTGCTGAGCAGGAAGCTGTATAATGTTTTCATTCATGGCCTCTGTGAGGCTGGAAGGTCTGAGCATGCTGTGGAGATATGGAGGGAGATGAGAGAAAAGGGACTGTTACCGAGCCTTCAATGCTACGAGGAGCTTGTCCGTACTTTGTGTTCTTCCAACAGTTATAATGTTGTGACTCGAGTTATCATTGATTTCAAGGAAAGTGGATATCAGGTTTCTTCCTTCATTTCCAATGTGCTCCTGTTGCATGTTTTGAAGGGCGAGAAACTCCTGAAGGCTTGGGATCAATCAAGCATGGCGGGGGATGCAAATTCAGGAGTTCTTGATCAACAAATTAGGTGTTCAGTAGATTTGATTCTCGGAGGCCTTATTAAAGAATTTGCAAATGGCCTTAGGATGAAGGAGAACTTTGAAAAGTTTGATGAAGTGATTGAACAGCACTTTCCAGTTGATATTTATACATATAATGTGTTATTAAGGGGATCATTTTTGTCAGGGAAAATGGATTTTGCGTGCAATTTGTTTCGTAGGATACAAGATAAGGGCTATGAACCGAATCGGTGGACCTATGACATTATGGTGCATGGTTTTTGCAAACTTGGCTATAGGAAATATGCTGAGAAGTGGCTGGAGGAGATGTCTCGGAATGGGTACCAGCCAACATGGTATACATTGAGTTTATTCAACAATACGTCGTAGGAAGTGGCGATTGTTTTGGCATAATATTATTCTTCAACTTCTTCCTGATGACCAGTTCCCCTTCCATTCATGAAGTTAAAGCCTGCATCACAGCTAAACAGGTACTTAAATTCTAATTTTTCTCATGCTTTTACGTTGTTTTTGTCAAATCTATTTTCATTTTTTATGCAAATTTGTTATGTTGTGCAAATAAGCAAGTTACAGTTAAACAGGTACTTTAATTCTAATTTTTCTCATGCTTTTATGTTGTTTTTGTCAAATTTATTTTCATTATTTATACAAAATTGTTATGTTGTGCAAATAAGCAAGTTACGAAATTGTGTTTTCATGAACATAAAACATGATGATGAGAAAAAGACCTTTTTAGTTCAAAGTGTTATTCATTGTCGTAGAATGCTATAGGAAAAAGAATCAATCAGTTTGCCTCTGAATGAATATATGGTGATGAAAATTAAAAAAAGGTATTCTTGTATTTTTCATTTCCTTTTCTTAATGTATTGTTTGATGTAGGATGCACATGTATGAGTGCATGTGTTTAAATTGAAAGAAGAAATTGAAGAAAAGACCTTGATCCTGTTGTGAGATTTAAATTGTTGAAACCAAATAGAGAGATCCAAAGCAAAATTTTGAACAGAAACGCACAAAAAAAAAATACACAAAGAACACCAGAATTAATGTGGATAAACCCGAGAATATGAACACAAAGAACACCAGAATTAATGTGGATAAACCCGTGAATATGAAAAAGCTACGAAGGCACACCGCACAAAAAATTTAACTATGAAAAAAAAAATGAGGAGAAAATATAAATTACAACACACTCGTGCCTTTTCACACTTTGGACGCATTAGGGCACTCATATAAGAGATTATGAATTCCAAAACAAAATTATAGAAAAATTACTTAAAATAGATTTCTGTTTTTTAGCTAACAATTGATCGACACAATTGGATTTCACATAATAACAAATCCTTTTTTTAATATTGAAGGTGAATGTTTAATTAACAATTCATGTTAAATTTTAAATCTTTTCTAATTGAAATAAGGTAACTAGTCCATATTAAAATAAGACAAAATACCTATAGATACACAAATAATATATTTAGTGGTAGGTGTTGGGGTGAAATTTGATTGTAGGAATGTTGAATTTTAAAAATTTATGGTTAGGACTATGAATTGCGGTAAGAATGGTTTGGTTATGGTGGAAATTTTTTTTTTGAATTTTTGAGTTTTGATTTTAGGGCAGAGAAAGATAAATTTTAAAATTTAGGATTTGTCGGGTTCTGATACCAGATGATATCATTCTAGGGCTATCAGGAGATGTTTAAAAAATGGATCTAGAGGGGATGTGGTTGTGAAATAGTAAGGGAATGAAAATAAAATAAGGAGATATCATTCTAGCTTCTTGTAAGAGAGAAATATAGTGAGATCTAAGTTCAGCTATAGACATAGGCAATATGCCGAATCATGTAAGTCTTCTTATCTTCTCTTTCTATATGTGAGGTTGTGTTTCTATTTCACTTTTTTACTCTTTTTATTTCCTATCTCCTAACAAATGGTATCAAAGCCACATTTTGCTAAAAAAAAAGAGATGGCTAAAGAGGGGAAAAATCAAATTGATAAGTTCAATGACAAAGATTTTGGTTGCTGGAAGATGTAGATAAAGAACTATCTGTACCAGAAGAAACTGCATGAACCTGTTCTTGGTCAGAAACTAGAAAAGTCAAGCCAAGAAGAGTGGGAGTTGCTAGATCGCCAGACACTAGATGTGATTAAGTTGATGTTGGCAATAAATGTATTTGTACATATAAAATATGTCAACACGAATCTCACACTAGTTGAACGGCTCAAGAGGATGAAACAATCAATCAAATGTAGTTGTTAACGAGCATTTCAGGTTGGACGATGACAAGAGAGGCGTCGTGTTCGGGCGATCGACGAAACGTGCTAGGAAATCCTCCACAGGGCGGTGATCAACCCTCAGGACGATCGGTCGGAAGTATCCTTTCGGATTAAATATCGATTGATTCAAGTCTTATCGAACAATCAACAAACTCTTATAGATCAAATCAGCCCCCCAATTTTATTATATGCGAATAACTTTGTAATTAATAAAAAATCAATCCGAAAAGTCAATGATGAGGGGACCAATATGTACTTTTGTAATGATATGACCGATGCTTATAAATATGAGGTCTATGTTATGTATAAATGTTACACTTTCTTTATTGCTCTATACGGTGCCCTCTCATCCTGTATTTCTCTCTCTTAATGCTCAATACCTTGGGTGTGTTTTACGGACGCTTTTGGATTCAATATCCTTAAAGGTGCGGTGAGTGTAGAAACATGTCATCAACATGAAGATGAGCTCAACAATAACAGCAGAGAAAATCTAGCCAAAGGAACGTGGCAAAAGCAACATGCACCAGGGAGTTCATGGAAGAATTCATCAAGGAAGGTCTGCAAGACTTGAGGACCCAAATCATCAGATGCAGAACAGTTCACAAAAGTGCTCAGGGTGATTGTTGCCCTAGCGGCGGGTCCATTTCTAGGAGGAGGGCTGACCCAACAAGAGGCACGCAACCCCCCTCAAGGGGAACCACCAACAAATAACGGGAGAAGAACGATCCACCTGCAAGAGAAGCCTGACTACGGGTTATCCCAAGATAGCGTCGGATCAACCCCTGTGGTAGAGAAGAACCGATCA